AAGCTTGAAATTTTAGCAGCCCCCCTCGCTAGCGGTTCAATTTTTTAGGAGCCCCCTCCTTGGTAGTCGAAAAAATTTCAGACCCCCCCCCCCTCCTCCTTCAATTCCTTTGCTCCCCTGAAAAAAGATCGCTAGACTGTATTAAATATATTTACCGTTATTGTCTTCAATGGTTTATACTATGACAAACTTGAGATACAGTTGTGATACAATTTTCTAAAGCATTTTTGGGATGAACAAGAGTGTAATAATTACTGAGACTACATTTGTTATATCTGTAAACCACGTGATATAGCTGAGTTGCACAGGTCATTAAATTGTTGAGTTGAAAACCATCCGATCTGTATGATGTCATGTGTTGGTTTTGAAGTATACAAATTTTCGGAGCCCCCCCTCCTAGCGCAACAATTTTTTCAGAGCCCCCCCTTCGGGTGTCTAAAAATTTTCAGAGCCCCCCCTCAATATCTTCATCCCCCCCCCCTTGCCATATTAAATGAACTTTCCCTTAAAGGTCTTTTGTGTACCGAATTTCTATCAACTTATTAGAATGCCAAAGACATTCCAAAAACATCTGAGTAAATAATATTTGCGATACATAAGGTGCACAAGGGTTTGAAAATACCCTGTTTAGTACTAAGGTTTTCAAAGAACACTGTAAATACCGCTTTCGTCGTGACATCTTGGTTGAATAACAAAGACTTCCTCGATGTGGTTTCTCCACGTTGACTTCTCCTGGACTTTTGAGGAGGCTTATCAGGAGTATTTCCCGAAGGAGGGCCTAACGGCCGCTTGGATGACATATATACTACAAAAAATATCATATTTTTAAAGACGAATAAAAAGGGGAATGAGAAAAAGAATTCTACGCAGCTACGAAAGATCGACGAACGATCGATCGTGACCGCGCGAGTAACTTCATAATACTAAAGATGGCGCGAAATGGGAGTCACGATTCCCGCACATAGGTAAACTTCAAGTGGCATTTTGACCCTTAAAACGGCGGGGCCCGCTGGGGCCCGCGGACCATTTCAGATACTTGAACAACAATACTAATAGATTATGCTAAAAAATGGAGGTCAGGGGTCGTTGAACACAGAGAAGATATAGGCTGAAAAGCAGAAACAATAGCTCTTAACTAAACAAAGGGATTATGCGCATCAAGAATTACAAAGAACAATATCAATAGAAGACAAACATACCTTGGATTGTTTTAAGAACTGCGGCTTGCTACAGCTGTCTACTCAAACTTTTGCAAAAAATATAATCGTAAATCACTCGATAAACGGCAAAAATCGGAGAAAATCGAAGGGGCGACGCACAAAAGTAAAAAAAAATCGGTCGGCCATCTGCAGTAGCGTGATTGGACAAAATTGGTCACGTGGACCGTGGACCGATGCTTGTAGCTAAATCCAGTTCCTTTTTGAGCTATTTTGAAAAAATAGCTCATATGTCAGTGGTGTGAGCGTATGTATCTTTGTGGCTTTGTATCTTTGTAACTTTGTATCTTTGTAACTTTGTAACTTTGTATGTTCGGATGTTTGTTGCAAGAGCCAATAAGGTTGAAGGTACGATGAGTTGATGCTTAGGAACCAATGAGATCTTGGCATCTACTTAAACATGACATTGCTAAAGGTCGAACAAGGGCACTTTGAGACCGCCATCTTGATTCTTGACAATTTTTTCGTTTTTTATTACGGCTACAGGTGTTTGGAAACATTATATTAAATATCTTCATGACTCAAACGCTGTGTACAGTGATGCAGCTGTTTAAGGGTTCATATTTTAGTGTGGATGCTATTTCAAGACATTTCTGACCGAATTCGGCTATCGCGAACGGTATTGACGCACGTATTTATGAGTTGTGTTTCACCTGCTTCAAGGTAGAGTATAAAAGATCATATATTTTCAAAGCTCTTCCAGTGAAGCAATAATTGATATTTAGATATGGACTTTAACTCGAAAGTATGCGGCCTATAAAATGTGGTTTTAGAGGTTGGAAAGGCAGTTTATTTTTTTAAAGCTGTACCGAGTATTGTTAATCCTGTAAACAAGCTGTAGAAATATTATTCTCTCGCTTACAAAGTTCAACAGACCTTTTTCGTTCCGGCAAAAAAAAAAAAAAAAAAAAGAAAGTGAACAACATGATACATCCTTCCTGCATACTAAGCATTATAGTTATTGAAAGGTATTTTATTTAGTAAAGATGAGTAACTAAAGTAAAAACAGTAGCGTTAGGGAATAAAATTGGAAGAAGCTAGTTGACACAATAATTAGATACTGTTTTATTGAGTGGAGTAACATGATATGAGTAGAAATATATTTCGACAGTTTGATAATTTTCGTGGAAGTTAATAAATGTTAGGCTATCAACCTTGACGTTGCGTGAAACATAATTTAATTGCAGATGTTGTAATAAAGCCGAGGTGATTTCTTAAAATCGTTGAGAAAATTTTGTAGTAAACAATTTGCGTTTCTTTTTACGTACGAATTGTAAAAGGGCCAAAGGCCAACATCTTCACGTGCAAATTCTGTGCATGAGTTATTTTTATAATTCTGTTTACTAGATTACCGTGTGATAACTCGAATTCCCTCACGTACGAACCACGAAAGGGGGCAAAGTCCAACACTGTCACTTGCCAGTTGTGTGACTGTACATCTCATGCAGATTAGCTTTTCACAATAATAATAGTAACCTGAACGTATGAAGATGTTTCGTTTTTGTAACCAATGCCTTAAAAAAGGCTCTTGTCTTTTAAGAAGCAATAACTTTTAAAACATGAAGAAATAAGTTGTCGGAGTTAAGGACTGTTTCACTGAGTAGAATCGCACGTGAAAACCTCGTGAATTGTGATGATGCAACCATCTACCACAATGATAAGGATCCTGGTATTTCTTAACTACTCGAATTCGATGAGTCACATTTTGGCTTAAGAAACTTCGAGGAAACCTTAGAGTTTTCCTCCTAATCAACGGTTAGTGAGTAGATATTTCTTTTACTTTAATAATTTGTTTAACTTGCACCAAATGTAACAGGGAAAGACAGAGGAAAGTGAATATATAGCATGAGGATCGACGCAGCTGAACGTTTCGCGTTCTCATTTATGTGCGGCAATACCCAATTTCGCACAACAACTCAATCTACATTTAGGACGAAAAAGGTAGATTCATCACTCTTGGTAAGGTTACACTGAGGCATCAAAGTTACACTGAAGCATTCAAAATAGCTCATGCACGTTGAACGTGCCTATGTTTATGTATTTGTTATTACTCATTTTTTATTGTACCAGTGCTTTTTCTAGCGCCGCAACGCTAAAATATTGAACAATATTTTGGGTCCCCCGTTGTTGCCTTAAGTAAAATTGCTAGACCTCTTGAGAAATAACGAAGCGTGCTTAGTACTTTCGTAAATTATTTTTGAGAAGAACGGAAATAAGATTTATATCTTATAGACAAATAATTCGTCATGTATAGATTTCACTAACGAAAAAAGGCCAAGACTCTAGTCGTCCGTTTTCTATTACAGCAGATTAATTGTCATTTTCTAATTTTTCGTCTATTCACAACGTTGAACATTATTTTCCAAAAAGGGTCGTCTTTGTCGTAGAAAAGTAATTATTTTGGACATAATTGTGTCTTCCTGTACACCGCTCGATCTGAGACCATTAAAAATAAGTTGCGTAGAGTTGATTGTAACACAGGTAGCCCAAGCTCACTATGAGAGCCGTGAACAACATTATCCTACTTAGCTAATTAATTATTCATACAGCAAGAAAATTATAAGACGTTGTATGGAGAAATATTCTTTGCTCACTAAATTAGCAAAATGTACATTGAATATCGCTTTGAAGCTTACCTTTAGCGTCTTCTTGTTTTTCTTTGTATTCTGACTGCATTTCAGACCTCCTAGGCACTGTTTAAGGCCTTTTTTGGAGCGACAGTTTTTCACCCAGATGACAGTAGAGAGAAGAGAAGAGAAGGTTGGCAAACCTCTCTTGACCGGCTCCGCTCTCGGCGGCGATAAATTCCGTGACATTTGCGACATGGAAACAATTCCGCCAGAAACAGATGTCCTGATAAATAACGCACATTTTCCATCATTCACATCGCCAAAATTCCCATTTCGAAGGTCCTAAATCGCCAACGAAGTGGGCAATACACGGCTGAGGTGAGGCGTGTCGAGAGCAGACCCGCAACGGACTCCAACCGTCACGTCGACAATTCAAACCGACGCGGGCTGGCAGGGTCAAATTGTT